CCTGGTTTCCCTGGACCTTCCTAATAGCATATTCTAAAGCAAAGTTGAAAAGGAGTGGCGATAAAGCATCTCCTTGTTTTAGACCATTCTGGATAGGAAATTTATCAGACAAATGTTTACTTACAGGGACTTTACTACTTCTAATTTGAGCTATTATATTAAATTACACTGGATAGCTTTGGAATTCCAACAATAAAAAGATATCCATGTAAGTTTACACGTAGAGGCCAAAACTGTTTGGGCCACAAAATCGCTCTTGATATAGTTAATTTGTGCTGGCAGACTACCAAGCAATTTTTCTAAAAATAGATCAATTCTGCTGCTGTTAAAAACTCTTGGATTATAGAGCGCGTCAGCATTGCTCTGTCACTATAACGACTGGGCTACGAGCTGGACCGAGAAATTGGGGTTCTATTCAGGCCAGAAACAAGAAATATTTCTCCTCTCCACAGCATACAGATCAGCTATGGGGGAAATCCAGCTTCGTATTCAATATATAACAGGAGTTCTATCCCTGAGGGTTAAGCTTGCAAATCACCTTCCTTTCCCCACTTATATCTTCATGGCGTGTTTGATTATACACTGGGATAACTTCAATTTTCCTTCCATGCTAAAATTTATTAAGCAACTATGCGGTTTTCTTTCTTTCTGCCTCTCTTGGGGGGGGGGGTCATGGCCCATTCGTGGAAAAGCTGATGTAATTTTCAGCTGCGAATTGATTAAAACACTAGTAACTTGAACAATTCGACTGCAAGAGGGGCAAAGAAATACCTTCGCCGGCAAGACGCGTGTTCAGGATGAAAATGAATGAGAGGTCCCACTGATATCGAGGGCAGCGCCCTCGAATTGAATAAGCAGCCATAGATAGCACGCACGACGTGGCTCTCCACTTTTGTGCCTCGACACTTCACCGTAAAAAAAAAAACGAGGTTAGTGCAGGAGCAAGCCTCTATACTAGGATTTAGGAAGTGCTCGGTTCGAATTTTGGTCAGGGGGCCACCTATCCTGACTGAGGTTTTTCCTCAGTCCCTCCAGGAAATTAGAATCACATTTACATAAAAATTACACAGAAATTTTAATTAAATTGGAGAAAATATGTACACAAAACCCACGAAGATAACCTAAAATTCTTTACAACAGATGACATTTCCAAAGACAGGAGATGTGTAAAGCCCAATTTAACTTCTCAATGTCGGGATGGGTTTCAAGAGCAGAGTCCTGGCCGATTATGAAAAGGTGTTCGCATGTACAAATGAGTGACTGTCAGTTTTCCTCAGTCTTCTCTACGCGGCGGCACACCAGATTGTAGATCAATATCTGCAGACCAGATCATGTAAACTTATGTGTGTGCAAACATGTGAACTTTTTTGTGTCTATGTGTATGTTCATAACTTTGTACATAGTGTTCTTCGTACTCTGTCATGCTTTCCGTACTCGTATGTGATCATCTTCTTATAATATGGAGTACAGTTCACAGAAACAAATAAAACAGTAGCAATAATAAATGCCAACAAAGACATGAAAAATATAAACATTAAAGATGTCTATTCTGAAAAAGCACAATACAGATACCGTATAAAACACTTAAAACAAACAAAAAATGCGTCCAGACAACACCAGTTTAAGTAGATTCTAAAGGGTTCTGACGATGGCGTGGAACACCAGTTTAACTAAGAAACTGAAGCTCATGCTGATGAGATGACGAACAGGACTCAACAAGATCATATACTTCATGAATTGTTAAATCGTGTTCGGACTCAAAATGTCACACGGCTGTTGATAAGCGCTGAAATAGTTCGGAGAATTGAACAGGGGACAACCCATTCCTCAGACTTACCTGTTCTGTGGTTCTCCGTGTGGCAGAGCCCTGTAAGCTCACAGATGACAACACTAACTCTCAACCATAGCCCCACGCGTCAGTACTACCTGCACACAACGAAGCACGCTGACGACTGCAAAAGCAGCACGCTGACTGGACTCTTGGTCTCAAAGCCTGTTGGTCGGAAGGGCGAGGGGAGGGGGGAAACATATCTCGCCACCNTTCCCAACTTCTTCTCTCGCGCCGGCAGGATCGTCAAAAGCGGTCAAAAGCACCCTGCAGGAGTCAACCTCACACAAAGAAACAGCTGGAATAACACCGACAAAAATTTCCTTCTGTGGACTACTTATCAAGTGCTGAGGTTTTGTAGTCTTTCACCATGCACTCAACAGTAGAACTGAAAGAAGAAAGCAGTCTTCTGTGATTTGGCACCGTGTAGATGTGGTGTTAACCGGTTATCACCACATCTACACGGTGCCACATCCCAGAAGACTGCTTTCTTCATAGTCACCGCCGTGAAAACCTCAAATCTTACACAGTAGAACTGAAGTTTTCGAAATGGCGAAGATTCGTGTTATAGCCTTCTGGGCCATGACACTGTGTAGTCTGGTAGATGGTTGCCATCGTTTCGGAGGAACAAACTGCCTTCATCTTCAGGGGCGTGGCAGTAGGTCTATGTTCCTCCTATCAGACCATACTTTGTCATAACCAATAATACTACACAGAATGAACGGTGTAGTTGTTTCTGGTTTACGAGTATACTATATAACGAGTATATAGCGTATATAACGACGCTTTCTCAAATGCTCAGGTTTTACAGAGCCGAGCGAGAGGATGATTGTGAAGTGTGTGGAAGGAACCAGACGTGACCTACTCCGAGAATCAAAAGCGTGACCTCGTGAATATTAACCAGGTATCTGCATAAGGATCCTTATTGTGTCTTTAAATTATTTAAATGCATAAATTCATAAACTGAGTCTTATTATCTAAGCATTTTAAATTTTGATCAAGACTCAATTTATGAATTTATGCATTTAAATAATTTCAAGACACAATAAGGATCCTTATTTGAAGAATTAGGCGAAAATTAATTGCAATTCAACAGCTGAAACTCGAACATTGTACGCCCGATGATGACAACACAGAACAGGAAGCACACTATTAAGATCGTGAATATTAAACAAAGGCGATAGAATCTAGAATTTCTCCATGTATCCTCAACTAACTCCATGGAGCAGTGTTCTGCTTGAGAAGCTAACGGTCGCTCAGCTAGTCAAGAAGTCGTTTCCCTTTTATCGAACCCCCTGGCTCATTATTGTTCACAAGAATCCTCTAGGTAAACCTAGCCGATGGCCTCACACCCTATTTCATTAAGACACTTTTTATTATATCTTAACTGCCAAGAATGGTATAGTGGTAACGCTGCAGATGTTCATTCTGGAGCTGCTCGGTTCGAATGCTATCTGGGACTCTGGATATCCTGACAGGTTTTTGTGGTTCTTCTCAGTGCCTCCAGACAGATCCCAGAATAGGACTGAAGTAGATCACGACCACTTCCTTCCAAATTCTTTTCGATTTATTGTTCACCAGTCATCCTACCATTCGACGCTACATAGCCTGAAATATGACAACGCCGTAGAATAAATGGCGCACAAAAACTATTATCCTTTTATCTAGACCTAGATCTGTTCCCTTCAGGTTTCCAACTAATGTTCTGTATGCCCTTCTCCTCGTCTGTTGCATGTATAATATGCCATGCCCATCTCAACCTCCTTCAGTTGACGACTGCTTTCATAATATTTGGTCAAGAGGACAAGTTATGTTTGCTGCCTGCTTCACGCTGATTTATTATGTGACTTGCTTGTCGGCCCTGATGTTGGAGGCGACGTTTTCCCCCGAAACGTCAGTTGACATTCAACGGACTACACAGTGTTATATCCCAGAAGATAGAACTCTTCATAATCACCGCTGTGAGAACCTCAAATCCTACAAGTTCTTAAGTTCGTTGTTGAGTAATTGATTCTTAAAGGAAAACAAATTTTGTGATCGACGATAGATTATTAGTGGGTCGTTTGTCTGAAAGGACTGGAAGGTAGTTCTTTCTTCTTAGTTTCTTGGGGTAGGGTAAGACTGAGTCCACTTAGTACGTCGGCAACTAACTGGCCTATTTTACCAGCCCCGGACGATAGATGAGGAACGTGGAGCAGTCAGTGAAATGCGAATTGGCAGAAGAAACCTAAATACTCTGAGAAAACCTGCCCCAGTGCCACTTTTTCCATCAAAAATTCCACATGACCTGACCTGGGCTCGAACCCGGGCCGCCGCGGTGGGAAGCCGGCAAATAACCGCCTGAGATATGGCACGGAGCCTGGAAGGTAGTTCAAATTATTTATTTTCGAAAGCTATCTTCCATTCCTTTGACATGACCGGGATTACAGGTTTAAAACAATATTGAACTAACCAAGAGAATAAACCGGGCCAGAGAACCTAAACAGTTGAGCTAGAAAAATAAGAAAAAGAGGATAAACACATTACATGCTATTGTAATGACCACCTACGAAGAATGGAAGGTGAAAGGTGTGAAGTGTAAAGCAAAATTAAAAGCGGACTTCGGAAGACCTCTAAAGTTACTGACTGATCAGTCACGAAGACATGGTTCTGGAACAGATCAACAGGATCAATTCGTGCCTCTGCCGATGAAGAAGAGAATGTCTTTGTTTTGTTTATGGCCAAGAAAAATGTAGCCCTACTCTGATGTTCGTCTTCTATATTTAAACTCTGTGGCCCGTAGTATATTTTTGTTGTATGCCACTGTACGAATTTCACTGCCATTGTAGTTAATGTTTTGTAGGCCTGTATAAAACATTCTTAATTATTAACAAAATTAGTCGGGTGTTTCCAAGTGAAGCTTCATTAAAGTCAGATAAAGTGTTGAGGAAATAAAAGGAACGGTGGGAGGGCGCTGTCAAGGCCCCTCGGTAGCATGGTGCTGCAGAACTGATCAGGGGGAACAATGGGAAAGCGTCAGGCGTCACTCAAGCTTGACGGTGACCCCGCAATGCGAGCGACCTACCTTAGTAGGCGTGGTAACTGCACTTTGTTGTTGGGGACAAAATGTAGTCACAATTTGCATATATACTTTATCATTTTCATGCGTATTTCTTCAAGATAAGGCAAAATACTTCGTTTATAATTTTCTACTGTTAACTAAGATTTTTACTGCTGTAAAACAGAATTTCCATTTCACTTATGCCTCGAGGTAAGTTTGTCCCTGTGCTTAAGCACTACCATAAAGCTGTGTGAGACAGAGAAGTTTAAAGTTACACATATTCATAACTTGGACAATTCATGGGGGTTAGTGGCCAGCTTCACGCTCCAACGGCTTTACCTCCGTGGATAAAGCCCTTGGTACCCACTGGACAGGGGTCTGCATGAGCCCCAGAAGCGACCTCAGCGGTGCCTCAGAAAAGAAAAAGACCGTTTCCAACGAAATCGAATAGACGTAACCGTAGAAATGTTCTGTTATAACTAACTGTTTTACAAGTAGTGATTTTAATTTATTTAATGAACTGCTTCGACTAAATAGCGTAGAATGAGATGAGCCGATGTTCATGATTGGTGAGAAGGCGGTCGTAGCCTCTTTAAATACACCTGTACACCTATCATCCCGCCACTTGTCTGGAGAGAGTGAGGAAAAAACGAAAAACCGGGCATGTCCCTAACATAAATCCAGAGATTTATCGTTACAATGAAGAATGCCGTATTCTGGTATGTGGCGCCGTGTAGGTATTGTATAAACCGATGTTTCGGAGGAATCTGTCGCTTCCATCTTCAGGGTATAAAAATCCGAAGCCACCTGCTCACGCTGGTACCTCGCTCGCGAGATTTTATACCCTGAAGATGGAGGCGATACATTCATCAGAAACATCGGTTTATACAATACCTACACGGTGTCACATCCAAGAAGACGGCATTTTTCATAGTCACCGCCATGAAAACATAAAGTCTTACATATCATCACATTAATCCATCGTTTATGGAGTCTCAGGAAGCACAGGCAATACTAAGACATATGAAGCTTAAAGTAATTACTTTAAGTCATCTGAACAATAACGACGCCCACTGTTGTTCTCTAAAAAAGCTCTCTGGAATTTGGGATTACTGAATCGGAATTATATATTTGATTAGTCCGTACGAATATCGGGGGTTTGTCACACTGTCTTCAAGTTTTCATGGCTTTACTCTTAGTTCCTTCAGTAACTGTGACAACTTAATTACTTACTTACTTATGGAACTGAGCCCTTCTTGAGGAGAAGCCAAATCTGCAGCTACTCAAGAACTTCCCAGCATTTTATGGAACCCGAAGTTTCATTACCGTGTTCACAAGAGCCCTCCACTGATCTTTATCCTGAGCCAGATCAATCCACTCAATACCATCCCATCCTGTCTCTCTAAGATTCATTTTAATATTGTCCACCCACCTACGCCTTGGTATTCCTAGTGGTCTCTTTCCTTCTGGCTTTCCCACCAATATTCCATATGCATTCCTCTTCTCCCCATTCGAGCTACATACCCTGTCCACCTCATCCTCTTTGACTTGACCATTCTAATTATACTAGGAGAAAAGTATAAGTTATGAAGCTCCTCATTATGCATTTTTCTCCAACCTCCTGTCACTTCATCCCTCTTCAGTCTAAATATTGTTCTCAACACCATGTTCTTAAACACCCCCAGTCTATGTTTCTCCCTTAAGGTCAGAGACCAAGTTTCACACCGATACAGAACCATAGGCAAAGTTATAGTTTTGTATATTCTAATTTTTTTATTTTTATACAGCAGACGAGAAGACAAAAGGTTCTGGACTGAATGGCAGCAAGCATTACTCCAGTTCAGTCTCCTCTTAATTTACTCCTGAATCAGGTTTTGATTTGTTATCGTCGTTCCCAAATATCTGAACTCTTTACTTCTAGACCAACCTCCTTACTTCCGTCAATTAAAGTTTGTGTTTTTCTTTATGGTACCTATATTATCACCCAGTAGATTCACATCATCGGCATAGACCAACAGCTGATGTGCTCCGTTTAATTTCAGTTCCACTTGGGGTTTCTGGATCTTCCTAACGGCATATTCTAAAG